CACACACACACACACACACACACACACACACACACACACACACACACTTTAACCAATGTTAAAACTATCATAAGGCACCCAGGAAGATAGGGTTCTGGGCAAACCCTCTACAGCAGAAGCATCAGCAGGCACAGACTCAGCCTGAAGTCTTCTCCCTTCACCCTCCTTATCCCTATGCCAGGAAATGCCACATTCCTGCAGACAGGCCCTGTGACAATCCACAGACCCCTGCTTCTTGCTGCCCCCTAGTGGATGTTCCGTAACAAACCGCCCTGTGTAGGGTGTGTCCCCTGGCGCCTTTCTCACGCTCCTAAAATCATTATTCATGCTTTATTGGAGCTGTTTTAAGTGCTCAAGGCTCTGCCCAGGCCTCTGAAAACCCCAAGAGAAACTCCTTATTCACTGGGAAGCCTCGGTGGGTGGCGGCCTTCTCCCGGATATCGCATGCCCAGGCAGCTCTCCCAGAGGCCGGTGCAGCCCAGAGACGTGCAGGCAGCGAGTGTCACACATGTCGGCGCCCACGTAGGAACTAAGGGCCACAGGCCGGGCTGACTCTTCTCTGCAACAATTCAGACATGCTCTACAAAGTAAATATGCAAAAGGTTTAAAAATAATCGGAATCGGGATGGCCTAGATGTCGTGTATACTTGGGCGAAGCTCCCAGAGTCTGTGAGGAGAATAAAGTCACAACCAACCAGTCTACATGAGACTTTAACCCCAAGGGCAGAAATTATGAACAGACACCCCTTGGCTCTCCAGCTATTGAACAATGAATCCCAGTGAATTAGAATTTCTCCAGGCATTTCATGCTGAGCCTGGAAGACAGAAAGGGCTGGAGCCTGGTGCCATCCAGAGGATTCCACACACTTCTGACAACCACAGACCACCTTGCTGGAGAGATGGGAGCTGAGACCATGATGTGGTGGGCCCACACCCTGACCAGGACTGCTTAGCTCACACATCTCTTGTCTTCAGTTTAAACCCTCTAAGACAGACTACCAGAAGTCACTAGATTGCTGTGCTTCTCTCCATGTGTCCACACTGCTTCTCTCTCTCTCTCTCTCTCTCTCTCTCTCTCTCTCTCTCTCTCTTTATTTATTGTGTATACAGTGTTCTGCAGGCCAGAAGAGGGCACCAAATCTCATTACAGATGACAAATGGTTGTGAGCCACCATGTGGTTGCTGGGAATTGAACTCAGATCCTCTGGAAGAGCAGCCTGTGCTCTTAACTCTGAGCCATCTCTCCAGCCCCACCCCCTCTCTTTTGGAGATAGGGTCTCTCTGTGTAGCCGTGGCTGTCCTGGAATTCACTTTTTAGACCAGGCTGACCCAAAAATCACAGAGATCCACCTGTCTGCCTCCCGAGTGCTGGGATTAAAGGCGTACCTCCATGCCTGACAACTTTATCTCTTTTAAGATTATTACTACTGTGGTGGTGGTTATTAATTATTATGTGACGGATGCAGGTGGCCATGGGCTACATGTGGAGGTCAGAGGACAACGCTGTGCAGTTGGCTATCTCTGTCCACCTTTATATGGGATCTGAGGATTGAACTCATGTCAACAGTATTGCATGCAAACCCCTTTACTTAGTGAGCTGCTTGTCTCTTTATTTGGCTTGAGGACAGGTGATCAAACCTGGCTCTTTAGGGCTGCCTGGGTACTGGGTCTCACCTCAATAGTCTCCGTTGCGAGTCCATTGCCCTTTCAGCTTTGCCATGACCAGAGACTGCTGTACATATGCCCCCCCCCACACACACACACAAGAATATCCCTCAATCTCACCACCCCTCCACAGGGCTTAGTAGGATTCTACAGGGCTACAGATTCGTCTAAGTGTTTCCTGCAAGTTATGTTCATTCTGCCCGCCCCGAGCGGACCAGTGGGACCTCCCCTGACGCCACATCAATTCACAGGTGGGGCAGAACAATTCGACAGGTGCAGGAGAGGCTTCATCTACAGCAAACAGCCCTTTACCCTCGATCTTATGGAAGGCGGATACCACCTCTTCTCACTCTCTGGTGCCAGAGGGGCAAGTGGGTCTCCTCCAAAGGGGGCATCTCAGCAAGAGTAGGTTCCCAGGCAGCTCAGCCACCCTGTCATCGCATCCTTGAGGCATGGTCCTCTCTGCCACTGGAGTTGAGAGAAAATAGGGACCTTTTCTCCAGCTGGCGTGATGTCTAGTTAGATTCAACATGCAGACACCCCAGAACAGATATCTGAATAGCTCTTGGTCAGTTATGGACTTGTTTAGAGTCATAAAATGTCTGCTTGGCTGTGACCCCTAGTCGGCACTTGTAATCACAGCCAGATAGAAGAGAGGTAGGACCCTGGCAGCCCTCTAATGTACCCTATTTGGGAAAGTTCCAGTAAGAGATCTTATCTCAAACAAAGGTAAAGGCACCTGAGGAGTGACCCTCATCCACCATGAGCACATGTGCACGCTCACGCTCACACCAGGGCCTCTCTGAAGCAGCCTCTATTGAACACCGGAAGAGCCACTGGCCTGCTCGTCCCAGACAGGTCTCTGGGCGCAGTGAAGGAGCTGTCAGGGAGAGGTGCTCACAGCGTCTTCTGGAGGAGGATATGAGTACCCGTGTTTCACCAGCCCTGCTGGGAACTCCAGCCTAGACCTTCCAGGCCTTCCAGCACACTCCACTGAGAAACTGGCTTCCTGGCTCAGGCTGAGCACCTCACCCACCTGGGCATGCCAGGGCCCTGGTTCTCCGGAGCACCTGACCCTATGAGTCATCAGCTTACCCATGCACACACTGCTTCAGAGCTGCTTGCCTAATGGCCTGAGGCCAGGTCAATACGTGTCAGAGAACTAGAAACCAAGACAGGCACTCAGAAGCAGGATGTGGAGGGCACAAAGCTAATAGGAGGCTTCCTGTCCGTCGGTTCCCACAGCGTTTAAACCCATGTGGAGGGCCAGGTGTGGTGGACCGCGCCTTTACTCTCAGCACTTGAGAGAGGCAGAGGCAGGCAGATCACTAGGAGTTACAGGTCAGGGCTATGTTGTGAGATCATACTTCAGAAAATAAAAGCAGGGCTCTGGAAAGATGGCTCAGCAGTTAAGCACGCTTGTTGCTCTTGCAGAGGACCCAGGTTTGAGTCCCGTCACCCACATGGTGGCTTACAACCACAGGTATCCAATTCCAGGGGATCTGAAGCCTTCTGACTTCCTCAGACACCCATGTGCTGCAAGTCAAACACCCATACACATACGATGAATAAATCAACGGAAATACATTTAAACTGGGATGGTGGCACACACCTTTAATCCCTCACTCATGAAGCAGAAGCAGGCAGATAACTGTGAATCTCAATAATCTAAAATATCTATCAGTGTTGAGAGCTTTTTACTTTGTTTTTTGAAGCAGGCCATGCAATGGTAGCCCTGACTAACCTTGAACTCAATACTTGTATCCCCTCCCAACGTTGGACTATAGGCATGGACCACCTTGGCTGCTCGTTTTGAGGTTTTTAGGGACTTTGTTTTGTTTCCTGTTGCTGCCCTTGCTTTTGTATTTTTGAGACAGAGTCTCACTCTACGGGGAGAGATGGAGCGTAAACCACTGTGGAGAGTTCTTATGTGTGGAGGAGACAGAAGGTTGTCCCTTTAGATTCAAGGAGAAGCCCAGAGTCTATTGGATGAGCTCCAGCCACAATTGGGCCACGGGCAGGGTCCTCTGCTTCTACCTGCTCTACAAAGACCCAGAAAACAGGCTGCACTTGTGCCGTGGTGGGACAGTTATCTAGTGACTGACTGGTGTGGGATGCCCCTCTGTGTGCTGTGAATATGTTTCATCACCATTGGTTAATGAAGAAGCTGCTTTCGGCCAATCCTTTAACAGAGTAAAGCCAGGTGAAAAATCTGGACAGAGATGTAGAGAGAGAGTAAGCAGAGTCAAAGAAATGCCATGTAGCTGCCAAAGGAGTAACATGCCGGCACCAGTAAGCCACAGCCTAGTGGTGATACATAGGTTTGTAAAAATGGGTTAATTCAAGAAGTAAGAGTTAGCTTGAAATATGCTAGAGTCATTGGTCAAATAGTATTGTAATTCATATAGTTTTTGTATGATTATTTCGGGTCTGGGCAGCCAGGAAATGAACAAGCAGCCTCAGTCAACAGGTGATGTTAGGACAGCAGTTCTCAACTTGTGGGTCACAACCCCTTTGGGGTGTAGTGGGGAGCTGTGGGCAGACCTGCTTTTCATCCCACCCGGCTCCCACACGGCTAGCTTAGTCCCAGAAATAACAACAAACAAAGTGTATTCATTTAAGCACTGCCTGGCCCATTATCTCTAGAGAGTTAGTTACTGGCTAACTCTCACATCTTGATTAACCCATTTCTAATAATCTGTATAGCACCACGAGGTGTGGCTTACCGGGAAAGATTCAGCATGTCTGACCTGGTGGCTGGCTCCATGGTGTCTGCCTCATTGCCCTCTTCCCAGCATTCTGTTCTGTTTACTCCGCCTACCTAATTTTCTGTCCTATCAAAGGGCCAAGGCAGTCTCTTTATTGACCAATGAAAATAACACAATAGACAGATAACCCTCCTCCATCATTGGGGATCGAACGACCCTTTTGTAGGGGTTGCCTATGACTGTCAGAAAACACAGATATTCACATTATAGTTCATAAACAGTAGCAAAGTTACAGTTATGAAGTAGCAATGAGAATACTTTTGTGGTTGGAGGTCACCATAAAATAAAGAACTGTATTAAAGGGTTGCAGCATTAGGAGGGTTGAGAACTCCAAGGAACTTGGAGTGGCGGTCAAAGCAAAAGTCAGGTTGTCCAAAGTTCATCACCATGTGAGCCAGTCACATCGAACCCTCTGATCCATCGCATTTATTGAGCAACTTTGTGTGCCGTGCCTCGGAGATACACAGGGGTGCTCTGCCTGCCCTGCCTCCCAGAATTACAGTCTAGGCGACAGGGCCCAGCACAGCTTTTCTGGGAGCCCCTGCCATCTTCACGTAGATTTTTCTTTCTTTTTTAAGAATGCCTCCAACTTCCCCACCTCCTTCCCGCCACCCAAATCAGTGCCCAGAGTCATCATAGATGTACATGGCCAAGCAGAGCAGTGACTGTCCCTCCCCTGGTCAGTCTGTCTCCTTGGCTTTAGTGTCCTGGTCCCCAGCGCAGGCAGAGGGAGAAGCAACCTTGCTGCAATGCTCAGCAAATCCCCAGGACCTGGAGTGACCATGGCTCATGAATTCTCCTATTTTCTCTGAGCACTCACTCCTGGGATCCGAAGGCCCTCCTCTGGGTCTTCAGAGGCTTCCGAGTTTCCATTTAGGAGAAATAACTTCTGAACAAGTTGCTTATAGTAGCCCAACTGCCTGGGTTCAGAGAGTAGTTTAATAAACAAAACAGGCAAGGTGGTTCGTGTTCCTTCACTTGCTGCTACCTCCTGGGTCCCTGCCATCCCAAAGTTTGAGTTCTGCAATCTGTGCTGGGTTCCATTCCTCCAAAGCCACCAAGTTCCTTAAGACCACAGGGAAGCCTCAAACTTGTCACCTGTGAAGACCACTGGCGTATGGGAAAAAGAATGCGTGGTGGATTAAATCAGGAAGTCCTCCCCACCACTTCCTGCAGTAGAGGTCACTCGAGGGGAAGCCTAGGAGTGGAGGAGGTAGGCGCCAAGCCCTGCTCAGTGCTCTGAAGAGCTTCCGGAGTGGTCAAAGGTCAAAGTTCTCCCAGTCATTGCTCTGTTTATGGAGAGGTTCAGGAGCCCAGCTGATATCCAGGTGTGGGCGGGAATGCCGTCACCCATTAGAGCAGGTGGCCCAAGTGAGCTCCAAGACCAGAGGTTGGTCTGCTGCCCACACTGGGGCAGGTCTGTCCCTGCTGAGGCAGCTTTGGCTGGGCCAGTGCCAGAATCATTTCTACCCGTCCAAGTCTGGGCTTCTTCCTCATCTGGCAGACATTGCTTTCTTCTCCTGCCCAGACATTCTCTTTTCCCTCCAGCTGAGCCCTTGAAGTCTTCATCATCCGGATAGGTCATGAGCATCGGATTCTTGCTAGGGTGTGGGCACTCAACTATTCTCAAAGTGAGGGAGATGTCGCCACCACCTGGAACTTCCTTGGTCAGCTAGTTCACCCAGGTCCCCGTCCTGGAACATCCAGAAGCCTACCTACCAGGGCCGCCAGAGGCCAGGGCTGCCCGGAGGAGGCAACTGCGGAGAGGCAACTGGAGCAGGGGCGGGCGTTGGCGTCTGTGAAGGCGGGCCACCACTGACAGTCCTCTGCCGCAGGTGCTCCAGCAGGCGCGCGCTCACGGCCGGCTCCAAGACGCTGCAGGCCGGCAGTACGCGGGCTAGGTGCTCCAGACAGGCTTGGTAACCCTCGCGGTAGCTATCCAAGGACCCTGTGGACAGAGAGCAACGTGAGGCTCAGGTGCAAGCACTGTGCACGCAGCAAAGGCCGTGGGGAGCGAGGAGCGTGGTCACTCACCCGGCGCTGCAGTGGGGTAGAGGGACGCAGGCTGCTCCTGCAGGAAGCGCACGGTCATTTCCAGGATGTCCGCTTTTTCTAGCTTCGAGTAGCGGGAAGTCTGCGCCAGGCCAGACAAGAAAGATACCCCATAACAAACCGGGCAGCTGAGCACCTCGCTCTTGTATCCAAATGCTCGCCAGTTGCCCGATGGTCTCTATCACTCCATCGCTCAGATCTCTTCAGGAGTCCTTCTGATCCCGAAGGAGCCCTGGGACCACGCCCGCCCACCTGCCCCACTGGGTGCCCCAGGACTCTCCACCTCGGTTTTCCGAGCTCCCAGACACTCACCTCCGCGCCCAGCAACGGCAATACCAGCCCCTTTAGCTGGCTCAGGCTCTCGTTGATCCGTGCGCGCCGGCGCTTCTCCAGCAGCGGTTTCAGGCTCTGCCCGAAGGTGGATGGGCGCAAAGGCCACGGTTAGGAAAACCGCGGGTGCCTACCCACCCTGCCACGAGTCCCTGTCTCACACTCCTACCTTGCGCAGCTCCGCCGCGTCCCCTACTCTTCTAGGCAGTCTCATGCTCCGGGGAAAAGCGAAGAGCGTGCAGGGTCCGGTACCTTGGGGTGGAGGATCCTTGTCCCTGCTGCAAGGCAGAGCTAAGAACGAAGCCGGGAACCAAGTTCAAAGCCTAGCCCAATCTCACGCCAAAGAAGTGCGCGCCCAGCCAGCCGCAGGCCTTTAAGAAGGCTGTGTCCCTGCTCCGCCCCGCCTCACGGAGTCCGGCCAGTCGCCACTCGCACCTCCCGCCTTTGTCCCTGCACAGGGTGGGGCTGGAGAGGACGAGTCAGTGTTACCCCACTCTGGCCTTAGAGTCCCATCTGTGATAGGGTCGCGCGACGTGCGGGCGCTGACTCCCTGGAATGAAGGGTGTGTGGGGCCGGTTCTTGACTCTTCTCCAGAACACTATGGCTTCATTCACGCCCACCGGGCTTCCAGCTCCTCCCTGGGCCGCAAGGGCTCCAGCGACTGCAAAGCCCCGGACCTCAGGGAGAACATTCGCTCTACCAACTGCCCCGAGCTGGATGTGGAAATCCAGTCCTAGCAAGGTCCAATCTGGTTCTGGCTGCCAGAACCAGTACTGAGCTCGCTGGACCCCTGGCTCTAAACACTTCGTAGAATTTAGGGCACCCCACTTGGTTCCCCGACCCTAGAGTGTGAAAAGGAAACCTGAGCCCCACTCCCCAAGATGAGGCAACCCAAGATCCTCGGAGTTAATTTTCAATTCAATGGGTTCTGGGTTCCCGATTCCTGCTGTCGGACAGTCGGAGATCACATGGCCGGCGAGTAGGGGCGGTCCTGGGTGTGTGCCCCGGCTGCTCCCCTCGGCCCCAGCGGGCCCAGACACGCCTCCACAACGCGTGGCCGTTGCTGCAGCAAACTGGCAGGCGTCCCCCGCCCATCTGCTGCGGGCTCCCCTCGCTGGGTCGGCTGGCAGGGCAACGGCCGCCTCCTCGGACCCTGTTGCAGCTTTGAGGCAGTCTCAGGCCCTGAAAGCAAGACTCGCACAACCGGAGCCAGTAGGAGGCGCTCGTGGGGCGGAGCCGGGGAATGCTCTGTCCAGGGTACTGGAAGGACCCCCCTCCTTCCTGCCTTTGAGCCGCATTCCCTTCGCTAGCCCCAAATCCTTGGAAGTAATCCCACAGCAGGCCTACAAAAACAGTGCACCAGGAAGGGGGCGCAAGGCAGCCTGGGCAGGAAAGCTCAGCCCTCCTCTATCTATGGCACGCAAGGTCCCACAACCACCACCAAGGAGTTGCTTTGTGCAAGCTCAGAGCTCGTTGTTTTCGACCATCAACCCAATGATCCTAACATGAGAATTTGTCCCAGCAGGCCTTGAGATGCCCGATTCTCTAGTTCTCTCTCACAGTACGGTCTAGCATGCCTATGGGCTAGCCCCTCACTATGTAGACCAGGATGGCTTCAAACTCACACAAATCAACCTGCCTCTGCCTCCCGAGAACTGGGACTAAAAGTGTGTGCCACCTCACTCATTAATTATTCATTAAGAGCTCAAAAAGGGCCGGTGGTGGTGGCAGGCGGATCTCTGTGAGTTCGATATATGACATATATCGACCAGCCTGATATATGGAGCAAAATCCAGGACAGCCAAGGCTACACAGAAAGACCCGTTCTCAAAAACAAAAAAGGGAGAAAGAAAGCTCAAAAAAGGACTTTAGAATTTTACAGGGCTCCGTGGTTAAGAGCAAGCACTGCACTTATGGAGATCCCAAACTTGATTCCCAGCACCCACGACAGTTCTGGGGGGATCTGGTGCCCTCTTCTGGACTTCTCAGACATAGAAGTCATATGCACAAGTCTACACGTAGACACACACACACAGTTGAAAATAAAAAAAGGGCTTTGTGGCCCAGGCAGTGGTGGCACACACCTTTAATCCCAGCACTTAGAAGACAGAGGCAGGCGGATCTTTGTGATCCAGGCCAGCCTGGTCTACAGAGTGAGTTCCAGGACAGTCAGGGCTACACAGGGAAGCCCTGTCTTGAAAAACAGAAGACAACAAACAAAAACAAAATGACTGTGTGTCAGGGCAGTGGTAGCATGCACCTTTAGTCACAGCACTTGGAGGCCAAGGCAGGCGGATCTCTGAGTCGGAGGCCAGTCTGGTCTACAGAGTAAGTTCCAGGACAGTCACAGCCAGGGATACAGATAGAAACCCTGTCTCAAAATAGCAAATGTAAAAAAAAAATACAAAAAATAAAAAAGACAGTCTAAAGGCTCTAAAGCTAAAAAGAAACCCTGTCTCAAAAATAGATAGATAATAGATAGGTAGATAGATAGATGATAGATAGATAGAGATAGAGAGATAGAGATATAAAGATAAATGGAGAGAGAGAGGGGAGAGAGAGAGAGAGAGAGAGAGAGAGAGAGAGAGAGAACAGTGTGGAATCCCTTCTCCTGCAAGTTCATTCAACTCGTCATCTCCCAAGCCCACCCTACACTGACCAAATCCCTGGAGAGAGACTGATGTGAGGCCCTAGGGTGAAGCGTGGGAACATCCCTTTCCAGAGATGAAGACCACTATTTGAAGACCTGAGAACAGGGAAACAAATTCCCTTTGCTATGTCAGTTACCTCAACATTAAGTGTCTCTCCCTCACCACTCCCACCCCCACTGTAAAGGAGTTTAACCAGGTGATGCACCTCTCCCTTCAACCAAAAGGCTTTGGGGGTTTGCTAGTGGTTTGGAAGATGGGGTCTCTTAGAAGCAGAACTTGGGTGTTCAGAGAATGAGTCTCAAGCTCACTAGGACAGTCTACGGCCCTATGGGGACACACTCTACCCCTGATACCTCTACCAGGGGTATCAAGAAATGTGCTGGTCCTTGGCTGAAGAGAAACCTGAGGATTGGTTTGCACCCAGTTCGGGAGGGAGAGCTAGGGTGGGCCCAACAGAGGGATAAGAAGATGGGGGAGGGAGCCAGAGGGGGGATGTGGGGAGAGGGGATCAGCGTGAGAGGCAGAGAGAGAAAGCACAGCTGGACAGTCAGGTTTGCCACGTCCCATCTGTGCCATCTCAGGCTTTAAAAGGCAAAGGATGGGGAGACGGCTCAGCAGTAAAGAGCCCTGGCTGCTCTTCCAGAGGTCCTTTTAAGTTCAATTCCCAGCAACCACATGGTGGCTCACAACCATCTGTAATGAGATCTGGTGCCCTCTTCTGGCCTGCAGTCATACATGGCGGGAGCACACTGTATTGTATACATAATAAATAAAATATTTTTAAAAAAGATTTATTTATTCATTTATTATGTATACAGTGTCCTGCCTGCATGTACATCTGCAGGTCAGAAGAGGGCACCAGAGCTCATTGTAGATGGTTGTGAGCCACCATGTGGTTGCTGAGAATTGAACTCAGGACCTCTGGAAGAACAGTCAGCATTCTTAACCTCTGAGTCATCACTCCAGCCCCCCCTTTAAGAAAAAAAAAAAAGCACTGCTCTTCCAGAGGTCCTGAATTCAATTCCCAGCAACCACGTGGTGGTGGCTCATCTGTAATGAAGTCTAGTGCCCTCTTCTGGCCTACAAGCAGAACACTGTATACAAAATAAATAGATAAGTCTTAAAAAACAAAACAAAAACTGTGAAATGCCTCCGTGGGTAAGGGCACCAGCCACTAACCTGATGACCCGGGTTTGATCCCCAGGATGCACAAGGTGAGAGGAGAGAACCAATTCCTGCAAGTTGTTCTTTAACCTCCATTTACCTTCCACATGTACTGAGAGCACCACCCACCCACCCACCCACACACACACACATGCACACGCACGCGCGCACACACACGAATAAATACAAACTTCTCATGCCTCTCTCTCCACAGCCGTAAAATGAGAGTTGACTCCCTCTCTGAGCCGCTTGTGGTATCTCACGCCTGTAATCCTAGCATCATAGAGAGGAAATGAGATTCAGGAGTTCAAGACCAGCCTGGGATAAATAATAAGTTCAAAGCCAGTCTCCGAAACACGCCATTGACGGCCTCTTTAAAACTGTTGGGGAGAATTTAGTGGAGTGGAAATGTCCTGATAGGACAAACAGACAGACACACAGATGAAAGGCCTGGCTCTCAGGTTGAGGGTCAGCTGTGTCCTCAAGGAATCTGAGGACTTACTAGGTCAGCAAGGACGTGTAGTAACACCTGGCTTTGTGTCAGAGTCACTGGCTGAGTTGGGAATGACTCAGAGGCTTTTGAGTGCAGGAGCAATGCATGAAAAAGCCATGTGAGGTGTCCAGGGTCAAGGCAGCAACTTTACAGGGTGGAAGGATTGTAGGGGTTTCATCGTGAAGCAGGCACAGGGGAGTGGAGCCCAAGTCCAGCCATCAGAGTTTAGAGACTCCTGAACTTACCGGCCGTCGGGAGCCCCTGCCTGTCTACCAAGCAGGCATAGTTATGACTCAGTAAGGAATCCAGAAATCTCTGGGGAAAGATCACAGATCCCAGTAACTGCAGGAATGAGACCTCACCAGCTAGGCAGAAGTGCTTGGAAGCTCCCTTGAGCACACAGCGAAGTTTGAGTTTACCTGGGAGCTCCAGCCACTATGAATGGCGCCACCATGTGGTGAAAACAGAAATGGTAGTTGAGACTGCACAGGACCAGGAGATTAATGATTCGATGTTCTGCAAACAGCTTCCGTCTCCATTTCCAGCACCTCCCTGGCTGATAGGAGTTAGGCACTCGTTTGGAAAACATCGGCCGGGAATGCGCTTGGGTTCTGACAGACCTCCGCTGTGCGTGGGGGAAGAAGAGGGAGAGCACAAGCTGTTTCAAGGTTGCACGATATGCTTGCTGCGCTCCCACGGCTCACACACTCCTTCCTGGGGAGCCTTTGCTCCAGTCCAGCAGACCTTGCCTCCTCCAGTTCCCATGATCTGTGTCCAGCCATGACCCAAAGGGTGGTTTGTACTTACCTGCCTGGACCCTCAAACACGTCCCAGTGTCCTTGATCACGTGGTGATACCGACTCTTTGGACGAAGGCACTGGAGCGTCTGCCTACCAGCCCCCCCCCCCCCCCCCAGCGCTCACATCCTTCATTTCTGGTCTCTTGGTTTGACAGCCCTGCACCTTCAAGTTCATGATTCACTCTCCCACCCCCCACTGCAGCCTGGGTTATTCAGAATCTCCAGCATCCTGTTCCAAACAGCTCTAAAGCACCTCGATGTCCTTCCTTCCTTTCATTTAAGAAACAGATCCTTTGGGAGGCAAAGGCAGGCGGATCTCTGAGAATTCGAGACCAACCTGGTCTACAAGAGCTGGTTCCCGGGCAGGCTCCAAAGCAACAGAGAAGCCCTATCTCGAAAAAACAAGCAAAAAAAAAAAAAAAAAAGGAAGGAAAAAAGGAGGGGGGGAGGGAAGAAACGCGGGAGCGGGGCAATGTGGGGGCGTGGCGGGGGAGGAAGGGAGGGAGGGAGGGAGGGAGGAAGGAAGGAAGGAAGGAAGGAAGGAAGGAAGGAAGGAAGGAAGGAAGAAAGATCCTATGGGTTTGGGTTGGTTTTGTTGTTGGTGGTGGTGGTTTGATTTGGCTTGGTTTTTCAATCACTGTATTTATTTATTTGTGGGGTCCATGTGCATGTGCGTGTGCGTGTGGGGGTGAGAAGACAGCTCACGGGGGTTGGTTCTGTCCTTCAACCCTCTAAGTCCCTGGGACGGAACTTGGGTTGTCAGGTTTGGCAGAAAGCCAAACTTTACCCACTCATTTTTCTGGCTCCCTCCTTTCTTTCTCTTTCTGCCTTCTTCTGTCTCTTTTCTTTTTCTTGGATCTAGACTCTAGAGACTCCTTGGCATCCAGAGAACACTGGGCACTCGGCATTCTGCACGTGATGGGACATTTTTAAGTTTCTCGACAGTGGTGTCCAGAACGTCCCTTCTTACCAACTAGATCCAGCACCAGGCACCTTCTTGATGACCATGACAAACCATTTCCTAACTCCAACTTGCCAGGTTCTAGTGACACTTGTAGCTCCTTGTAACTGCCATCAGCTGCTGGCTTGTGTCCCCAGCACCCGAAACAACACGCAGTGGCCACTGGGCCGCTGAATGAACGGGTCTGTGTCTGGGTGGCAGTGGAACCCTACTCAATTTTTTATGGGCAGCAAATCAGAAGAGGAACCTGTCACCCGCCGGGGATGGGGGACGGCTCAGAGCCGGTGAGGCGGGGCAGAGAGGAGGCGTGGCGGGGGCGGATCCAAGGCTTAAGCGGGGCACTCTCGGGGTCCCCGCCCCAGAGCGCTGCAGAGACGGAGTTGAGTCCCAGGGATCGCAGAGCCGGAGCCGACGGGCAGCCGCTCGGCCTTTGGGGTTCACACTCCTGCGCCGCGGGGAGCCTAAGGCCACCCGCATGACGCCCGGGGGAACCCACTGAGCGCCGGGTTACGGCGCCGAGGGCGACACCATGGCCTTGGAGCAGGCGCTGCAGGCCGCACGCCGGGGCGACCTGGACGTGCTGAAGTCCTTGCACGCCGCCGGCCTGCTGGTTCCTACTCTGCGCGACCGGCTAGATGCTCTGCCAGTGCACCATGCGGCCCGATCTGGCAAACTTCACTGTCTGCGCTACCTGGTGGAGGAGGCTGCCCTCCCAGCCGTGGCCCGCGCGCGCAACGGCGCCACACCCGCCCACGACGCCGCCGCCACAGGCTACCTCTCCTGCCTGCAGTGGCTGCTCACACAGGGTGGCTGCAGAGTGCAGGTGAGTCCACTCCAAGAGAGGGTTTGGGCCCAAAGAGGACTCCAAGGATGAGCGGAATATAAGTGGTTCTTGGCTAGGCTGAGCCCTGCAGGCTTCTTTCCAGAAGGCTTTAGACAAGGTGGGCTCCCGAGACTGAGGACATGGGTAGATTCCTGGCTGCTTGATATTAGGGAAACCCAAAGGGAACCGGACTCAGTAGAGCTGGTATCTCCTAGAGCAGTCAAAGCACAGATCGTAGAGGGAGTGGCCTAGGCTTGGAGGAAGGTGGGGGCCGTGATGGGCCTTGGCTGACAAATTAGAAGCCTGTGTCCTCCAGGCTCAGGTCTGGAGGGAGAGTGCACAAGGTCCCATAACTTACCCTAGGCCAAGATCCAGATATCACTAAGTCAGGGACAAAGGTAGTGGGACGTGAGGTGGGGGAGTTCTAGGACATAGGTGGAGCCAAAGACATCAGCAATGCTGGGCCTTCCAACTCCAAGGCCCTTCTCAGCCCAACCTGAATTTTTGAGCCTGGGATAACCACCTGGTCACTCTGAGGACCTGCCAGGGGGACATCTGGCTGAAGAGTGGACCAGAAAGTCCTCATCACAGAGAACAAGAAACGCCCTGAGATGTCCACACTCCTGGAGGAGAGCTAAGGAAATCAGAGTGATGGAGAGGGGTGGGGTCGGGAGGCCACCAGGCTTGGCCCAGAGGCTCTCCTAGGCTGAGGGAGGGGATCAGTATGATATTCTGGTTGCCTGAGCAGCCAGCTGAGATGGGTGCACATCTGATCTTCAGCTGACAGAGACCACTGGATGGTTCACATCTATAATCACAGCATTTGGGAAACTGAGGCAGGAGGATGGCTGTGAGTCTGCAGTCACCCTGAGCCTCAGAGTTGAGACCCTGTCTCAAAAAAAAACAACCAAACAACAAAAACCCCACAGACCACTGAGTGAACTACACGCCAAAGGGGTGCAAGCCAGCGCCAGTCTGGTCTGCAGGGACCTAGCGAAATGCAGTGCGGCTCCCAGATCCGGTCCCCCCTCCCGTCGGAGGGCAAGCCCCACCCTCCCATCTTTCTGGGAGATTCTTTCCTTACCTTATCTCCTGGCCTTGTTATTTCCACGTGGTCCCTGCCTCCCTCTTTCGGGAGGTGCCTGCCTCCCTGATTGCACATCCAGCTCTGGTCAGAAGACTCTCTTACTGCTACAGAGGAGGAACAGGCAGCCTTGGGCTGGCTAATCAGTCTCCTGTCCTGTGCACCCAGAAAGCTGGGGGCAGAAGCGTGATGGGGGCGTGACCTCGATCTCTGGTCCTGTCCAGCCCACAGATAAACAACTTAGGATGTGGGCCTCAGCACACAAGGCTCCCAGGGCCTACCCAGCTGGTGGCACCTTGAATGCAGGCCTCTGGCTTCATACTGCCATCATTATCCAGGAACACTGAGCTATGGAGATGCCCTAAGCCTCAGGCCCACATCCCCAAGACCAGTAGAGAGGGAAGGCCTTACTCCAGAGCCGAGGTACCAGACCTCCATCATTGTAGATCACTGTAGTCCTACTTCAGCCACCTCTAGCCGGCCCATGCCTAAACTCAGGAGAACAGACTAAACAAGCCTACGGTGGGCAGTAGGGAACTCGGGCATTTTCCTTAGTCTCTTATGGGCATGGGCCATTCACTTTCTGTCCCATGATCCTCCCCGCCTCTACAGCCTGACAGATAACACGCCAGTCCCTGTGCTCCTTTCTTCTTTCAGGAGCTCTGAGGTCTCCCTCCAGAGATTCACCTGCCTCAGGGTCTCTGTACCTTGACCAGAGGTGCTGCTGCGGTGCCCTCTCCCTGCAGGAGAGAAGAGGCCTCACTTCCCGGTCACCGGTCACCGTTCACAGCAACTCCACACTTTCTCTGGTGTCTGTGTGCTGGATGCTGACAGATTGTCAGCTTCTACAATAGCACCTGCTCTCAAATGCAGCAGCCTCAGTGGGGACATCTGGGGTCTCAGTGGTTCTCTCCCTGCCCATGACCAGCCCCTCAGCCCCTCCTTCCAGAGAGACACTATATATGTGTGTGTGTACATATATATACATATATATGTATACATATATATGTATGTATACACACACACACACACACACACACACACACACACACACACATATATATGGAACAGTTCTGGACCCAAAGGTGTCTGCAGGGGTTTTACTCAGCCTCTCAAAGAGCCTGCCACTAGTACACACCCACACCATTGGCTGGCTGCCCTGGGCCCTGCCCACCAGTGCCCAGCAACCTCCTCCTCCACAGGGTGAGGACACAGCTTGTTCCTGAAGCTGTGTGCAGGGGAGTCTACAGGAGGGCAGCTTCTTGCGTGGGGGTTGGGTTGTTGGAGGTATACCGCGATGGAAGGCTCTGTCCCTCCCAAAGGACACCTGGGAATGAGGAAGAGGAGGAATGAAGGCTGGAGGCAGGGGGAACCCTAATGCCAGCCTGGTAGAGACCCAGCTACTCCCTCCCTGCCCGCCTTGCTCAGCCCAGCAACGTAGTCATGGACTCACATGTTTCCTAGGTGTCAGGGCTGTGCACAAAGGGTGCCATGTACTGGGAGCCTCTTGTGCACTGGCAGCTCTCCATCATGCCCCGAAGGCCTCCAAGAGTCCCACATGGCTTTGCTACCTATGGCCCAAGGGTCAAAGCCAGCCAGGAGTTGCCTAAGGACAGAAGTAGATTCAAATTCCTGGGATCTATTTCCCCTCCAAAGCATGCTCAGCTAGGCACGGCCATTCCCTTAAGGGAGGGTCAACACATGGACGTGTACCCCACCTCCTGGAGGAGGCTGGCTGTGGACTGAGCGCGCCTGGCAAGAACAGGTTCCGACTGCAGCGTTTTAACTAGCTCTCTCGCTGCAGGAAAAAGATAATTCTGGTGCCACAGTCCTGCATCTGGCTGCCCGCTTTGGCCACCCGGACGTGGTGAACTGGCTTCTGCATCACGGCGGTGCGAACTCAGCCATCACCACAAACACAGGTGCCCTGCCTCTCCACTATGCCGCCGCCAAAGGAGACCTTCCCTCCACGAAGCTTCTGGTCGAGCATTACCCTGAGTAAGAGCCTCTCTTTGCGTCCTTGTTCTGGTTCTGTGCTGGGAATTGAAACGGGGACCTTGCATATGCACTGAGTCTGCCACGGAGCTGCACTCCCAGGCCAGGGTCGCCCTCTTCATTTTTTGAGCTTAGGCTGGCCTCGAACTTGCTAAGTAAAAGATTTGAGCCTTGGATTCCTGATCTATACTTTTTATTTTTTTCTTTCTTTTATTTGTTTGTTTAATTATCCATATTTCTTGAGATGGGTCTTTGGTTGGCCTAGAACTTACTATGTAGACCAGGCTGACCTCAAACTCACAGAGATCTGCCTACGGGCCTCTGCCTCTGAATGACTGCCATGTCCAGCCTAAGGGTTCTCAGTGTTTCTGCTGACCACTTCCCAAGGACTGGGATTGCAGGTCTGACTACCTACCACATAGGACTTCAGGACTTTTCTCTTTAGGAGGTCTCAGAGGCAAGGCTCTGGGGGAAACCTGGAGGCTGCCATCAGTGACTGCCTCAGTGATCATCTGGGGTTCACAGGCCCAAGCCTAAGACAGGTCCGGCCAAAGTGAAACGTCTGCCTTTTACACGATCCGTCGGGGCCTCTGTTTCAGGTTCTGCAAGCAGGTGCTCCCTACCTTAGCTCCCCTAGCAGTTTAGAGTTGGATTTGAAGCTGGGCGGTGATGGCACACGCCTTTAATTCCAGCACTAGGGAGGCAGAGGCAGGTGGATCTTTGTGAGCTCGAGGCCAGCCTGGTCTACAAGAGCTAGTTCCAGGACAGGCTCCAAAGCTACAGAGAAGCCCTGTATCGAAAAAACAAAACAAACAAACAAACAAAGAGTTGGATTTGGTACACTAGGCATGCAAGCCCAGGTCACTCTCCCTCCTCTGGGTGCTTGCCTGGCTGCAGCAGGTGGCCTTCAGTCTGTGCTCATTTCTAAGAGTCAGGGGTCACCTCCTAGCCTGAGCATGACCGGGAGAAGAAGGAGCGATGATCGAGCAGGTAAGAGGAGAGCCATCCTGCTGTCCCATGATTCCTCCCAGCCCCAGAGCCATGAGCAGGCTTCCTCTAGAGAATTTTCCAGTTCTGCGGCCTCTCAACCCATTCGTGTCACTGGGAGATCCTGGGACAGGATGGGGACATGTTGGGGAAAGAGACTCATAACAGAGCAAAGTGACGTAGGAGAGCCTGGGGGAGGAAGACAGTCAGGTCTTACGTGTCCTGGGCTGAGGACAAGGGCCTCAGGGAAACACCATAGATTCTCCCTAAAGGTGTAGGATGTGAGCAGCCACCACCAGGACCTGAGGCTGAGGGTGCTCCTCAGCTTCTGTCCAAGTAGTGTGCCCAGTCTCAGGAGGAGGACCTCTGCAAGGTGACAGACAGGGTTAGACCCAATGCCTATTCATTTCCGAGGTTGCCTCATGGCCACTGCCCACCAGGGAGCAGACTGGCCACAGGGCATAGGACAGACACTGGTGTGGACATAGGACAACTCTCAGAGAAGGCCAGGCACCAGTTGTCTCCTCGGCTCTGGGTAGGCAGGCTGGGCCTGTTTGGCATCTGGCAAGGGTTTCCCTGTCTGGCATTGGGTGGGTGAGGCAGCAGGAAGGAACTTTGCTGGTGTGGCTTCTCTGCATAGCCATTTGGTGGCCACTGAGGTGTGAAGGCTTCGCATTCAGACAAGCAGATCTGGAGGTCAGATCCACGTCAGTGGCCCCAGGGACCTCTGAGTGTGGGGTCTGACCTGCCAACATCAGCAGCCCTAGGGAGCGCTGGCCCAGATTCCTGTTAGCCCCTTCAGATTAGGGCCTGGCCATTCCTGTGGCATGTCCTCAGCCAAGGCTGTGGTTCTGGTGTACTCTCAGGTGTCCTCACTCTAAGCACAGGACACTGAGTTCCTAAGATGACAGGTTATGGAGTATAGACATTCTCCTGCTCTCGCCAGCCTCTCCTTCACGCAGCGCACGCAGAGGTCCAGGCTAGTGTGAGCGCTACAAGCAGACAGGGCTCCGAGCCTGCTCTGTGGGTTCCAGTGAGAATCACTAGCCCTTTATGTGCCTTAGTGAAAAACCCCACTCATGACAAGCCTAGCGTCCCCCATGGGCTGAGATTCCTATGGAGGAAGACTCCAGCTCTGCCATGCAACACTCTTGAGAGCTCCAGCTCTTGGAGCCCTTGGAGCCCCTGACCCTCCCAGGTGCTGAGTAAGAGCAGATTCTGGTGCTGACTCTGTGCCAAATGACCTCATTGAGGGGCTGCCAGACCACCCAGGATTCACCAAGAATCTCAGGGAGGTAGACAGAGGGCCTGGGCTCCCATCCCTGCCATGGTTTGTGACCAGGTTGGTAAGAAGTTACCTTTGAACACATGCCAGGCTAAGCTCAGGCAAGAGGGGAGACTAGACTCCCTCTAGGGGTCAGGGACTGGTGCGCCCATGTAACCCCTGGCCTTGGGAACGGGCTTCTCCGGGGTCACAGGGTCCAATCGGAGGACCCCCACAGCCCAGCCCTGAGGCCGAGGCTCCACGCTCACTGGGGCCTCCCAGGCCTGCTGCGAAGCTTGTGAATTATTCACAGGGACTCAGCTCTCTCCGGGGCGTTGGTGAGGGAGGAAGAGTGCCATCCGTGGGAAACTCGATCCTGACCAGGGAGGCTGTGGGTAACCATGGGCCATGGGGCTGACGAGCTGCAGAGGAGCTGGAGGGCTGGGCAGCTCTGGGAAGGGCCCTGCCAGTGCAGGTCTGTGCCTCGGGGGCATTTCATAGGGCTTGAGGTCACAGGAACACACAGTACACATTCTTTCCCTCTAGTCTACCCCAACGAGGACTGAATCTCTCCAGAAACAGAACTTGCCACAGAACACCTCCTTCCCACTCTGGGCAGGAGGAGGGGGGCTTTCCTCTAAAGCACCCTGCAAAAATGGGACCCTTAACCTGGGAGACAGATGGGCAGACAGTCCGGGACAGAAGCACAAGTAACTCACGGTGACTATGGTGTCTGCATCCCCAGACGGGGCAACTTAAAGGATAAACGAGTTGGCAGACTTCTTTGCTTCCAAACTTTTTGTTTGCTTGTTTTTGGTTTTTTTTTTTGACAGGGTTTCTCTATGTAATGGCTCTGGCTGTCCTGGAATTTGCTTTGTAGAACAGGCTGACCTCAAACTCACAGGCATCTGCCTGCCTCTGCCTCCCGAGTGCTGAGATTACAGGCGTTCGCCACCACCGCCCTGTTTCGGTTGACTCTTAACCGGGATATTAAACCTAAGAGTCCCCGTCCCGAATGCCTTTGCCATGTCTGCTTTGGGCTGTTCTCCAGCCTTTGCTGCTGGAGGAGGGCCCTGGGCTCAACCCTGACTGAGCTTTGAGACTGGAGAGTAGGGAGGGCTCTGGGGTCTTCCTCTCAGGCTCCTGGGCCCTTATCATCTGTGAACATAGCCTTCTACATGTCTGTGTGTTTTCTTCCTGTTGGACCCCATGACTAATGAAGCTACAGGCTTATCTTCCTTGCTCTGTGTGCCCAGTGTCTGCACGCCGTGGGCCTTTGTTTGCTGATTGATGAGGAGTCTGGAATCCTGGGTCTGTGCCCGTGACCTTAGCTGGAACTCCCTTTCTGCATCTCCCTGTGCCCATTTGGCAAATGCTTCCAGTCTACCCGAGAGGCCGAGGCCGTGGTGGGCACAGAGCTCCTGGCCTGGCTGCTTCTTTTCGCTTACATACTTATTCACTCCACAAATAGGTCTGAACTCTGCCCAGCTCACCAGCCCCGGGGATACAGCTGTCCCAGTTTAGGAGACACTCACAGCAGACAAAGAAGGGAATAGGTTGAGGGCAACCCCGGCCCCCAGTTTAGAGGAACACTTCTACTCAGGGGTATATGGGTGTGCAGGCCGTCTGTCCCGGGGGGCAGCATGGCACAGCTCAGCCATATGCCTTTGTGTTTACAGAATGAGCTAAACAAAAGAACAAGAGAATAGAGGGTGATCAACGCTAGGTGGTAAAATTGGGCTGTCTGGTAGGAAGTCATGGCAGGGTCCCTCAAGCTGAGGGGACCAGGAAAGGCTTCTAAGAAGTAATCATCTGCTCCACTGTGAGGGTGTGGCCATGACTGGGGCACAGCAAAACAAGTTGAGAGTCAGGCGGAGGATGGGAGAGATGGCACGTGCTGGAAATGTCACGGGTGCGTGCGCTGTTTCTGTTACCATGACAAAATACTGGATAAAAGCCGCTTACAGACAGATTGGTTTGACTCAGTTTAAGAAAAGACATAGCCCATTATCGGGCAGGAGTTTGGGGTGGAGGGAGCAAGTCAGTGGGAGCCCAAGGTGACATGGTGTCCATAGTCAGGAAGCAGAGAGCTGAGCAGGAGCAGGAGCAGGTGATCAGCTGGTTCCCTGCTCTCTTCCGGTTTCAAACAGTCCAGGACCCCAGCCAAAGGTATCGCACACGCAGGGTAGGTCTTCGTCTCAGGAACTGTCCTCACACACTCACCCGAGATGTTTCCTAGGTGTGTCTAAATGCAGTCAACCAGACAGTGAGGCTCGGCCAGGCTTGCTGCTGGACTGGGATGTCCGTGGACTGGCCGAGACCCTCCCTAAAGATAATGCTGTGGTTTCCATTTCTCCCTCCCCCCGCCCAAACCAAGCTCTTGGCATAAACAGAGATGTGATTGACAAATATCTTGTGTGTGCAGGCCCCTCCCAAACTCCCTTAGGGCAGGTGTTGTTGGCAGTAGGAAAATAAGCACCGTGGCCCTCTGGCCACAGCCTGCAGCTGCGGTGAGGAATCACCCCTTGTTCTCTGTGGCCGCTTTGGCTATAAGCAACTCTCTAAGACCCCCCCAGAAGTAGAGTGCACCCCTTTTCCTAACAGAGGGTCTTCCAGAACATATTACCCTCTTCTTCCAGGAGGAAGACTAGAAACTACTTAGGATCTACTTGGTCACCTCACAACAGCAGGAGATCTTGGAGCAGGGTTTTTTAATCCCCAGAGTTTGGGGTTCAGAAGGAGGGTAGCAGGG